TGCTGCATAGAGGGGGAGGATCACCTCCTTGGACCTGCTTGAGATGCATCTGTGGATGCATGACAAGGTATGGTCGGCCTTCCTGACTGCATCCCCACACTGCCGGCCCATGTTCATCTTGGAGTCAATGATGACTCCAAGACCCTTTTCTGCCTCTATACTGACAAGAAGGGAGTTCCCCAACCTGTAGGTATGGTGCCAGTTGTTCCTCCCCAGGTGCATCACTTTGCACTTCTCAGTGCTGAATCCCATCCTATTCTCATCCTGTTGTGTGTGTGCATGTCTGTATGTATGTGTATATATAAATACATGAATGAGTGAGCGTGCATATGTAAGAAAGTTGATCTATCATTAGTTGATATAAAAATTAAAACATCTTGATTTTCAACTAAGTACAATTTTTTCAGAGATTTGGTGCATGTGTTTCCTAGGTACACAAACTAGATTTTATACATTCACACACACACACACACACACACACACACACACACACACACACACACACACACGCACATCTTAACTTATTTGGATTATAAGAAATCTTACATTTTGGTATGCTATGAAACGGTGAAATATATATTTCTTATTCATTAGGGGTACCTCTACATGGGCTCCAGGGTGGAGGTGGGGCCTTTTAAAACGCCACAACATCTCATGTATTCAGCATCCTGCATATCAATATGGTGGTGGGGGTGCTTTAACATGCCCTTTAACCATCATTTTGAGACATGGGATGCTGAATACACAAGATACTGCAGCACACCGGACGGCATTCTAATTAAAACGCTCCAACACACTCAATTAATCAAGTCTGCTCCAACATGTTCAAATCAGAACATGTTGGAACATGTGTATATGCACCCTAAATGATTAACTCCATTATGGATACAGAATCATAAATATTCATAATTTGAGATTGAGCTAATCAGAGCTCAGGTAAAGAGACTAAAATAGGAGTCTGATATCATCCAGCCCTGACTGATGGGTACACAGGATGGTGTCTGGTGGAATCTGAGGCTAGGTTCCAACACCAGTGATGACTTTTCTAATCTTTTTCATTCAGGAGTGTAGACCCCACATCTCTTGCACGGTCAAGCCCCTAATACATGAAATATTCTGCCATATTTTTAAAGCGTGATCTCAAAAGGTAGATGTTTTCCCCCTTCATTCCTTTATAGAAGAAAACCAGTCTTTAAACTTCAGAGTTTTTAGCAGAGGCTCACCGACTCATATTATGTTATTTAAATTATTTTAATAGCTTAGATTTATACAGTTTGAAAAGAAAACCCAAGTATTATCCATACCTTAGCCAACACTGCATCAAATTCAAATTTTATTTTAAGCAGGTTTATTTTTAAAAAGAAAAAACTTAATTATAATTTAAATTAAAAAATGAAGCATCAGATTTAATTTTTTTAAATCAGATTTTTATCCTTGCTGCTCTTCTTCCTTCCCCTCCTTAGGATCTTGAACTCTTCATAACTAGGTGCATCTACACGTGCAAATGCTTCAGGGTGGGTTTGCTCTAGAGTAAATGACTTTAGAGTAAAACCACCCTGGGGAGGGATCTACATGTGTGGAGATTCAGGAGCAGATTTGCTGCTCCTGGCAGCAGTCTGCTCCCACACCTTCCAGCCCTGCAGTGGCCTCCTGCAGTAAGGATAAGCATGTGTAGACAGTGATGCTTACTATGCAGTAATTAGCTCTAATCCTGAGGGATAGCCAGCACAGGTTTGTTGTGGGTAGATCTTGCTTGACCAATCTCATTTCCTTTTACGACCAAGTAACCTATCACCTGGATAAGGGAGAAGAGATCAACGTTGTATATCTTGACTTCAAAAAAGCCTTCGATCTGGTATCCCATGATCACCTCTTGTAAAACTGGCTAACTGCGACCTTTGCCTCACCATGATCCACCGGCTGGGGAACTGGCTCCGAGGTAGACCCAGAGGGTGGTGGTT